TGGCACTTGGCTTCAGCACTCGGGCTCTGCTGCACAGCAGAACAGACTGTGCAGTGCATCTGCCTCTCCAGTGCCCAGGCCTCAGGAATCCTCTTTGGGCACGCTGGTTGGGAACAGGCCGTGGTCCAGGGAAGCAGTGCCATCTGCAGACTTAAATAATGGGAATTGCATTGTAAAAACCCCTGGTCTGTCAGGCACATCATATGTATTGTCTGGGAGCAGCTACAGATGTTCCAAGGACACCAGCAGCACTTGGTAGAGTGTGTCCTGTTCCTCAGGCAGCTGGCAGTTGCTGCCTGCTGTGAAATGCAGGAGTTGCTCAGTCCCAGGTGATTGTACCAGAGCACAGCAAACTGCAGGGAATTTGCTCGTATTCCTGGCACTTCATTCTTTTTTTACATTCTAAAAATTCAACCACCTGTACTGGTGAGCTCAGGGGTTAAATTCTGTGAGGAAGGAAACCCACAAGAAAGGTTGCTGGTGTCTATTTTATATTTGAATACAGTGTCTCTCTGTGCTGTTAAATAAGCTAATGTTAAATAAGGTTAACCAACTGACTTTATGCTTTTTGGATTCTAAAGATCTCTGTTGTATCTCTTGCCTGTCTGCATTCCTAGTTTAGTAGTTCCTGTTGCATTAATTCAGCCTTATTCCTCACCGTTGTTATCACTCTGCACAGAGGGAGGTGAAATGGTTCATGTTAGGCCACCTCATAGGTGCTGGCAGAATTAAAATCAGGCTCATTAATTCTTGCCTTTTGACCCCTATCTTATTTAACAAGAGAGCTTGTTGAACTTCATATGGTTCTCTCTATCCTTCCCCAGTTGACATTAAAATATTCTTCTTGGGTCATATGTTAAGGAGATGGTTGTACTTTTAAAAGCCTTCACTAATTGAGAACCTCTGCTGTGTGCACAGGGTTCATCTGGCACCACACGGGTGTCGCTGCCCTGTGTGTGTGGATGGATGGCACAGCCAGCTCTGCTTGGCCACGTGTGCGTTGCTGTTTCACTGGTTTTCTAGAGCTGACAAACTTTGAAAATGGCACATCCTATTATTGACCTATTATTCTTAGGATTGTCTCAACATCGACTGAATTCTAATCCATTAAAATACTCAATCTATTATACCTTGATTGGCAAGTTACTTGCAAGGGAATTCCCCCCTCTAATTTTTGGGTGAACACCTTTTATTAAAGGTGTTCTTTTTTAAAAAAACTCATGCATATGGATCCATTTTAGTTCTGTTATAATGCAACCTGACAACGTTTGCTCTTCAATGATGTTCATCTTGTGGCTTTCTAACTCTTGTGATCTGTTTTTTGGATTCTTCTCTGGCTGTCGAAGTCTGTCAGTTTTCCAGTGTTTGGGGTTTTAAAAGCTGGTATCATTATGTGGGAGCAGGGAGTGAGATTGGGTTCAGGGCAGCTCTTAAAACAAACTAGAGTAATTACTGCAGTTTTTCTCCCAATTTTAGATCATCTTTAGTAGTGTTTCTGGGTTGAGAACTTTAAATAAAACTCTTCAGAACTCTAAAAATCATCTTATATTACCAAAATTTGCTGTAAGAATAGTAATATGCCTTTTCGGAAATCAATGTTTTAGGCTTTATTTTACTCTAGATACTTGTAATTCTTTCCTGAATGTTGTCTGTGAAACGCTTGTGACTGTGATTTTATTTCTGATAATGTCCAGGGTTTGAATATCGTTTGCGAGAATTATGCAAGGATTTACTGGGTCCAGTCCATTACTCAGCTGGAAGTCAGTGGGAATCAACAGTTATGGTAAGTCCTGATAATAGTTTAATAAAAAACAAGGAGGAGTTTCCCATGAAAATTACAGGACATGACCCCTTCCATGCTCTGCTCTGATCTCATAAAAGGCTCCCTACCATGGCATTCAGATTTATTTCATGTGAAACCAGAGCCCAGTGCTCGCTGCCCCAGTGTCAGCTCTGCTGCTGGCTGCAGTCTCACATGGCTGGAGCAGAGGTGCATGTTCAGGTCCCCACGTTCTTGAGGCAGCAGCCTGGACAGGGACATGGCCCTGCCGTGTCCCCTCCCCGAGCACGGCCTGGCTCGGGACCTGCAGAGGCTGCACCGGCCTCGGGAGTGGGGGAATGTGAACACAGCTTTTACTCCAGGAGTCATGTAAGCAGAGTAAGAACATAAAATATGCAGCTCTCTCCAGGCAGGAAAAAGGGCACGAATCTTAAACAGCTCCATGGAATATATTAATGATACCAATTAATAGATTCTGAGGATGTTTTTGTGGTTTTTTTGTGCAGGGTTTACGAAAGAGAGAACTGTTGAAAGAGCTTCTTCCTGTTATTGGACAGAACCTCCGCTTCCAGAGGCTTTTCACAGAGTATCAAGAGCAGCTGGACATCTTGAGAGACAAGTAGCATGTTCCCAGATTTTCCCTGTGGGGCCTGGTCCGAGAGAAACTGCTGACCAGCATTAGCCAGAGCCAGGAGAGGAGCGAGAGCCCGGCAGTGGGACACTCCTGAGGGAGGGGCTGTGCCCAGAGGTCCCCGTGGATTCCGGGACAGGAGGAGTGGAGGAGCTGGACGGTTCCCCAAGTGAAACTTCACCATCGAAGCTGTGGCCTCTGTTTCTGTGGGAAGTCATGGATATGTACTTCAGGGGGATCCTTTTGGATCTGGATCTCATATTAAAGCTAGCTGAGAACTGTTTGTGCGGTTTCTTGGATGTCCTGTGAAAAGCACAGTACTTCAGCATATTTAACCCTGTTTAGGGTTTTTTGCCTGAGGATTTATTGAGGCTCAACACTATATTAAATTAGATGAATGAGCCACATAAAAAGAAATTTCATAAAGATTAAGGTATTATGCAGCCAATAGACTCTTTCCTGTGAATATAATAATAATAATAAGAGGCTGTTCTAACACATGGACTATTTTTGTACTAGAATTTGCTAACTTGTAATATGGAATTTTATTTGGCCAATAATCAGGCTATCTCTACAAAGTCATCTTGTAGGAAATTTAACTCTAATTACAAAAGCTATGTTTCAAAGTAATTCTACCAAATTAACATGTCATCATCAGGTTTTTAATTTTTAAATGTTTGTAAAAGGCATTTTGGGGGGAGGGGGAGGGATACAATGGGGTGGCTCTTTTTGTAAGTACAAAATAAAAGAACATTGCATTGGTTTAAAAAAACTCAAAAAGCAAAAACATGGTCTTGAATCATTACAAAGGGCACAGGCATCTCCAGAAATGTCAGCACAGGCTGAATCACGTTAACGTGTCTAGAAAGAAATAATTGTGTCTGGATGATCTGTCCTCTGAAAGCACGATCAGACAAGTGCTGGTGATGTCTGCAGGCAGATACAGCCCCAAGTGGGCGAGGAGAGGGAGCTGTGTGGGAGTGCTCATCATCTCACAGCACAGCCCAACAGCCTCCCCTGACTGATGGACGTGGTCAGTGCTGCAGCAAGGAATGAGCTTCATGCATTTATGGCCGTGTTCCTTGTGGAGTGCTTTTGGAATTCCACTGAAACCAAATCAGTCAAGTTGTTTTCTTCCCCAGAGTGTGTTTGGTGCTGGGAAAGAAGCAAGTGACTGTGTTGGCTCTTTCCAGGCCCTGCTGTTTGGGTGTGCCTCAGTTTGAGCCTTACTTTGAAATGTTTTTGAGTAAGAGAATTGGAAGGAGTTAAGTGTATTTAAACCCTTGCAAAAGGGCCGTTTCTCCCCTAAACTTCCAACAAACAGTATCCTTCACCCTCAGACTGGCTGTGCTGCTGTGGCCAAGGGGACTAACCCCTTTCACAAAGGCAGCTCTGCAGTTATGTGGTTCTCTGGGTCCTAGAGGGAGGATGTGTTCTTTAAGGCACAACCCCTTCATTTGCAGGGCTTTGTGCCCTCTTCTCTTCAGCTGCCAGACACCAGCTTACAGCCCTTGTGCAGGCTGAACGCAGACAGGGTCCTGAAGAGCAACAAAACAACTGCCTTAGCAGGGATTCAGTGTGGCATCAGTGAGTCTCCAACAAGCAGCTGGAAATGGAGTGACAACACAGTTTGATGCTGTGTACCTGGTGGGGAAAGTGAAGGTGATGAGGAAAGCCAAGCAAGTCCCCTGAGCTCTAGTCCCAAAGGTTTAATAGCAAGAGCCAGTTGTGGCAGTGCTGTAAGTGATTCATTATGCTGTTGCCAGTTCGTCTGCACTCATGGGAGCAGCCTTCTGTTCCTCGGAGGAGAACTGTAACAACACAGATTCATGGAATGTTGGGGCTGGAAAGACCTTCAGGCTGTGTTCACCTTGTGTTCACATGTGCAGCCAAGGAGCAACTGATGGGATTAAAACAGGGGATAAGGCACCATGTTCTGCAGAGAAGGGCAGTCTGGTCCAAAGCCTGGTGCAGTCAGTGGGAGTCTGGGAGTCACTTCTGTATGGGTTTGGCTCCCAGTGACTCTGTGTGGGCAGCTGTAAAGATGGTTTAACAAGAAAGGAACAAATGAGCATGGCTGGGTTTGGAGGTGTTTGATAAGTGAAAGCTCTGGCACAGGTGCTTCTTTCCTCCTCCTAAAGGTGTCAGGATTCTGACCATCCTCTGTTCAGCCTTGTGCTGTTTATACCAGTCTTATAATGAAGGTTATTTAATGGGATTTAAAGGTAATTAGCTAAGGGATGGTAAATTCTTCTTTGTTGTTGAGTCTTTGAAGAGGTGCTGAACTATTTTTCGTGAAGAGCTATCTCCATGCTGGGCACCAAGTTCTTCTCCCTATTTTTTCTTGGGAGATTCTGTCACTGCCCGACAGACCAGGAATATTATGATTTTAAATTCCATGGAATAAAATATTTAAATTAGGAGGAACATTTTTCTTATGTTGTTCATTTTCACATTTTCTGCTACGTTCAGCACCTTCCTTTTCCAGAGGGGGCTGTGAAGGCTCTACCGAAGGCTGTATCACACTGTGCAAAGGGGGCTGCAGTGCCACCAGCAGCACCCACTGCCCTCTGGCCTGGCCTGTAAATGATGAGGAAGTACCTGTGCCTGAGTTTCATCTGGGGTACGTGAAGCAGAATTTTACATTTAAAAGCAGGCAGCTCAGAGGTGCCAAACAGCACTCACTTCAAACACACACGCACTTTCTTCAGGGAAGACTTGTGACCATTTATTTTATTAAGACAACTTCATAAACTGTAGTTGCCTTTTTAGAATCACAGAACGTTAAGGGTTGGAAGGGACCTTGAGGCTGATCCAGTCCCACTCCCTGCCATGGGCAGGGACACCTTCCACCAGCCCAGGCTGCTCCAAGCCCTGTCCAACCTGGCCTTGGACACTTCCAGGGATGGGGCAGCCACAGCGCTCTGGGCAGCCTGTGCCAGGGCCTCACCACCCTCACAGGGAAGAATTCCTCCCTCATCTCCGGCCTGAATTTCCCGTTTCGGTTCCCAATCACTCCCTGTGCTGTCACTGCAGCTCCTGACGGAGAGTCCCTCTCCGGTGCCCCGTAGCCCTGCAGGCCCTGGAAGGTTCTCCGCTGCCTCCTTCCCTTTTCCAGGCCGAACATCCCACCCGGCTCCCCCAGCCTTGTCCCCGGCCCGGCGCGGCCCGGAACGCTCCGCCCGCCGCCGCAGTTCCGCGCCGTGCGCGGCGTTCGGCTGCACCGGCGAAGACGCGGCCGGGCCGGAGCGCGGGCCTGAGCCTGGGCGAGAGCGGGCCGGCTGGGCCGAGCGCCCAGGGCAAAGACAGGCACCAGAAGGACAAATTGAGCTGGGGTGAGCCTGGGGGTGCGGGAGGCCGGCGGGCTGGGCCGGGCGGGCTGGGCCGGGCCGGGCCGGGTCTGGGTTCGTGGTCTGGGTCTGGCTGGGCCGGGTCGGGGTCTGGGCCGCCCTCAGTGCCCCCTGTCCCGCAGGTACATCACGTGCGCCGAGTACACGCAGTTCTACGGGGGCAAGAAAGCAGGTAAGGGGCCGAGGGGCCCCCCCGTCCCTCTGGGCGGGCGCTGGGGGGCCCTCCCCGAGCACATCTGAGCCCCAGAGCTCAGCGGTGCTGCTCGGAAATGTCCCCGCTGAGCGTCCCCGCCCTCCAGAGTCCTGCGCCCGCCGGTGGGGCAGAGCCCGGGTGCTGTTAACCGTCAGATTTAAACGCGGCTCTGTTGCGATCTTTTGGCCATGTAGTTTCAGGGCAGGGGAGCCTGGTAGAGTTACAGGTTTGCAAGCTTTGCTGTGTTATCAGCAGTAAGTTGCCCACTGACATAGCAAAATATAACTTTCAAATGTTTCTTTGTTACCTAGAATGCAATGTGTTTCTTAAACTCAGTTGTATGGGTTTTCTTTTCCCATGAACAGACCTTCCTCGAACTAATTTTAGACGTTTATCATTTGATCACTGCAGGTAAGACAACAGATTTACATTATCATTATTAAATGATGCATCTGTTTATCAGGCTGTTGACACTGAACCAAAGCAGTTACTTTCATTGCCTCCTGCCTGCTGGGACAGTAGTGTGGCAAGAAAAACTTCATTAAGAACTGAAACAATATCTACATTTACCATGTTAAGTGTCTGCAGAGGTGGGAGCTGATGGCTGAAAGAATACACAAGTGACTGTGTACATTCCAGTCTTTCAAATCTGTGCATTCAGGGCTTGAGTCTACTTTTCCCTGCTCAGAACATGCTTGGTCAGTCACTCCTCTTGCTGAGGCAGGGATTAGGTAGATTGAGGGAATATTTCAGCCATTTTTTTCTGTTTAGAATTTACTGTTTAAAGTGCTGGAGGGAAAGAAGGGAGTTGGCAGAATTGGGTTAAAAATCCTCTTGTAAATTGGGTGGTTCAAGAAGTTACCTTTCACATCTGCAAACTGCTGCTGCTTGGCCAGCAGCTGCCTGGGCTGTGGAAGCATCCCTGCCGTGGGTTAGGGATGTCACTGCCAGTTGTTCCCCAGCCCACTCCAGTGCAAAGACAGGGAGTGTTTCTGTTGAACCATCCTTTGTGCTGCTGAGCCCCAACATGGCAATGAAAGCAGGTCTGGGGGTGTTACAGCATCCCCTGGCTCTGTGGCTGTGAGTGATGGCAGCTACAGGTTCCTGGGGGCAGCACCAGTTCCTCTCATGGATTTTGTTCTTAATCTAATTTATGTAGAGTCAGGGCATTGGCAGCCACTCAGTATTTTCATTGGTATAGGCCTTACTTTATTGTGCAAGTGAATCAGCAACATATTATTTGCCTCTGTCACCATGATTTCCAGCTGATTTTGCTGACAAGAATGTGTTCTCTCTTTTCTAGTTTGTCTCTGCAGCCGTTTGAATACCCAGTTTGCACACCAGATGGGACAGTCTTTGACATACTGTAAGTTACTGCCTGAATTTACCTTTATTTTTGTGTTGTTGAGCTGGTTACAGCTGTTTAATCATCATTTGGTCTTAGCAAGTTGGCAAGAAAAATAAGAAAATGCCCATCTAATAGAGGTTTCTGATGGTGTTTGTCACTTATTACTTTATCCCTTCTTTTTTCAGGAGCATTGTTCCTTGGATAAAGAAATATGGAACCAATCCAATCACAGGAGAAGTAAGTAATGATGGATGTATTCACATCAGGTCTCTGCTTTCCTTATGCTCAGCTTCCTGTTTAGTGTATTGGAGAAACAAAAATGCCTTGGTGAAAGCAAAAGAAGTTTTAAGGGGAGTGCTGTTTTGAAGATCATATTTGTGAGATCAGCTTTGCTGAAATGAATGTAGAGATTTACTGGGGATCTCTTTTTAGCTGAAAAAAGGGAGGCTTTGGAATTTTAGACCCAGTATCCCCTCACTTCATCATGCTGATGATCCCTGTAGTAGAAAATAGTCGGTCTGTGTGTGGAAGAAAGAGGGCAGCATTACATATATTTATTTCTTATAACTGGATTGTAAATAGTAGGCAGAGGAAGTGTGTGGTTTGTTTATGTGAATTCCCAGAAGCTCTTGCTGCCTTACAGGTGTGGCCTAACGACATGTGAGTAGAAGAAATAGGAGCTCTTCTGTCCCTGCTGGTGCTGCCCAGAGAGCCTGACTGGTCACTGCTGGAAAAGGCTCTGTGCTGTGGCCTCATGTAGGCAGAATTCTGGTCTGTGCAGGGCAAGGGGCTGGCACATCTCCAGCTGGGATTAAATTTACAGCAGTGTTTCCTTACCCAAAGGGTATTTGGTGTTAGGCAGATTAAAGAGATTAATAGATGATATTATGAATGGTAAACCTAAACTACAAAATCTTTTGAGTTATCTTTCAGAAAGCTTTTGAGTTATATTTCAGAAAGCTTCTCTCACGATAGTTCACTGTGAGAGTGGGATTTCAGTGCCTTTGTGGCTTTCTCCCCACTTTTTCTGCATAAATGATAATTATGAAGGGATTACTTTCTGTAATAGGAAGAAGCTGTAAAGCACCAAATAAATATGAGGTACAGGAAATATTTCCTTGTTGGAATTATGTTTTTTTTTTCTGATGTGTTAGAAAAAGTGCATTGTTTATGAGGGCATAGAGGAAAATTTTAAGCAGAAATTGTTGCTTGAGCTACTGAAACTTATTTTTTGCTTCAGTGTGTGCAGTTCCTTTCCCGGACACTGGGAGGCAGCCACTGCCCAGGACTGGGGGAGGTTTGCAGATGGCTCTGGGCTGCGAGATTGCTTCTGAAACATCTTGTGTTTGATTAAAGATTTTCCCAGCAGGCAGATATGAGGTGAAGCTAAATACAGATGCAGCATTCCTAACTCTACATCTGAACAGTCTGTCTGAGACTCCATATCTTCCTGCAGGTGTGTTTGTGCCGTGGAGAGATGATTGAAGGTCTTTCTTCACACATGAGGAGGCCAGTGTATTGTTGAGAAGGAATGCAATTACAGCTGTTTCATTTGGGTTTGCCAGCCTCTCACCACCTTGCTGCTCTGCATTGGCTGGCAGTTTTGGGCTGTTGCCAGATCAGTTTTTTTCACCCAGAGCAGCTCTGTGACACCTGCTCTTGTTGCAGACTGTGAACTGTGATGTGGTTTAAAATTACTTGGAGTAAATGCTAAGCAAGAAGTGTAATGTGCCCAGTGGTCTTGTGTAATACAGAGAGAGGGAGACTGTGAAAATATACTTGGTGAACCATAAATGCTCAAATGAAGTCTGGCTTTGAGTGGAGCTCACCCAGACTTGTGCCTCTCTGTTTGTTCTGCAGTGCACCTCCAGCTCTCCTCAACATGCACCCCCTTCTCCTCTGCATCACTCTGGCTGGGCAGCCCCTTCTTCTCCCCTTTTGTTGTTGCTGGACTGCTGCTGTCCAGCTCTCTCCTCCCCAGGACAGAGGTGTTCAGATCAGCTGGAATCAAAAGGAGCCCCTTGTTGTCCAGAACAGCACCCAGCCCTGCTGAACCCAGCCCTGTGGAGCTGTAGGTCGAAGAGTGGCACTGAAGGAAGAGTTGTAGCTTGGCCTTTGTTTCCTAGAGGGCTAGCTCAGATTTTTGGATGGGGGAGGAAGAGGATGGGGTGCTGGGACAAGGCAGGGTAGGGGCAGAGGCAATCAGTGGACTGAGCTTGTGCATCCCTGCACTGTGCTGTCCTCTGTTTAATCTGTCACTGTGTGTGCACCTTCTGTGCCCTGTGCAGCTTGCTCGTGGAAACCAGAGGGTATCTTCTGTAATGAACTGGTGACTTACAGAAAGACTGGGTTTGTTCACAAAGGAATTGAGCCAGATCAGCTGCAATGCCATGTTTTGTACAGGGTTTTATGAAGTTACTTTGCACACACTGGTGATGAGGCTCTGGAGAGTTTTTCCATTTATTTGTCTTGAAGTAAAAAATTATAATGAAATCCTTTGTGGCTTGTACTTCTCTTATTATGGTTTGCTACAGGACAGATGCTTAAGAGAAGTCAACAGGCTGCTTGGAACTGGCGTTAATAGTGCACTCTTGGCACTCACTAATTCTGTCTGGCTTCTTATTTCTGAAGTGGACCCCTCAGTGGAGAACTGGAGAGCCTTGCAGTCATTAATGTGTTTGTCTTCACAGTGCTCCAGGGTAGGACTGTGCTCCTCTTTTATTAATTGGATGTTTGTGAGCTGATCTACAAGGGAGTTCTCTGACTCTTCTGAATCCTAAACTATTGGACCAGCCTTCCTTTTAAAGAAATGCTGCAATGCAAAGGTCACAGTTGTTCTTTTATATATTTAAAATATTTTAATATTTTTCTTTTGTTTTCCTTTTCTAGACTTTCTAATGGCTTATGGTTTATTTTTTTTGCTTTTCTGAACATTCTCCTGAAGTGCAGTAAGGACACCAATATCCATTTAGGAGAAACATATCACTGTTGACCCTTGCCTAGAGTTTCCCATAAATTATTCCAGAAAATAACTTTAGATTTATTCCCCCCCCCTTTTTAAGAATACATTGGGATAGAAAATGCTTATGTTACTACACCAATGATTTTTGAAGAAACAGTGCATCTCTTGCAGCTCAACTACAACCTGTCAGTCAACATTGGCTCCTTTACTTTTTTTGGCAGCTTTGTTAGGACACTGCCCTAGCTTATCTTTACACTAAAATTGCATAAAATAAAAGAGGGAAGTCATAGTTAGCTCATTCCTTTTTACTGAGAACAGTAGAAGTTCTCAGTGAACTTGTTGGCTTGGGGAGAGTTGCAGGCTTGCCAGGACGTTTCACGTTCTGCCAGCCAGACCAGCATGCCCACACGAGGCAGCCAGCTGGGCTCAGAGACCTGTTTCCAAGGAGAGAGATGGGCCAGAGCATGTCTGGTTTGTTGGAATCTCAAGTATGAACAGATGATAGAGCAACGTGCCTCTTGACAGGAATTTCAAGGAAATTGTTCTTTGTTGCATGGATATGTTATATGTGGGCTGAGCTATTTTTCCTCCTTTGCACTGTAATGTGTCTGATGTCAATACCTATTTTTTCCACTCTGTTCAGTGGCATTCTGACTGTGTGTGGGCAGGCCAGATTATTGTGGCTGTACTTCAGCCCTGGCCAAGGCTCTGTAACCGTGGACATATGTCTCTCTTTCCCTGTCTCATGAGTAGCTACTGTCCTTGTCTCTTGTTCCCCTTTTTCTGTGGGAATTTAGTTCTTTTGAACACTGGAAAGCCAGTTGATTTCTGCTGTTTGCTTCTAAGGCTTTGGTCCAAAGTCAATTTTGTGACTGCTTTAAGTGCATCTACTGTTTAACTCATGTCGAGGGCTCCCTGTGTGAATTCTTTCTGCACTGCTTGGAGCACACTGCAGTCCATGTCTGCTGATCCTGCCTGTCCCAGAGAGCCAGCGCCCTGTTAAGGGCCCTGTGCAGCTGTGTGGCTGTTCTGTGTGTCTGTCTTCAAGGGTAAACACAGCTCAGTCGAGTTCATTTAGCTTGGGCTGAACATGTGCCCAGGAGTCAGGGGAGGAGACCTGGAGGTGCAGTGTGATGGGTTTGTGAGACCAGCAGTCTCATCTCTGCTCCAGATGAGGCAGAACACACTGTGCTGTGCCCTGTCTCATGCAAGGTTAGGATCCACACCTGCAGGCCAGAGAGAGCATTTTTTTAGCGTCACAAGCTTGTTACTAGGTTAAAGAGGAAGATTTTTATAAATTCTGAGGGTTTTTTAAGAATTAGAAAAACCTTTTGCTTGGACTGCCTCTGAAGATAACCATAAAGAAGAGCCTGGTGCATATGGAGAAGTAGTAGAACCACTGACGTGAACATGAGAACTAACTTTGAAGTCAGAAGGCTGAACATCTCTGACTTTTTCCAGTGAGACATCTGCCTTTTTAAAAGAGAGGGCTGGACACAAAGTTTTGCTTTTCGTACAACATAAACATTTGCTGGTTTTCTCCCACACTCTTAATCCTGTGTTTACCAAATAAACCTGACTTGGAGTGGAATTATGGCTAAGGTGATCAAATAACTGTGGCAGTGCAGGTGCCTGGCTTGTGCAGTGCCTGTGTGCCCAGGCTGTGGGAACAGCAGAGCCTGGAGCTGCCCTGCCCTGCAGCAGGCACCTGCAGTGGGAGCAGCAGAGCCTGGAGCTGCAGTACCTGCAGCAGGCCCCTGCCATGGGCACTCCTGCCCCCAGTGCTGCTCACCAGGCCTGCAGCAGGGACCTCCTTCAGCATTGGTTTGAAGTGAGGTTGGTGAGATGATGCTTGCCTGAATAGTTACAGGCATTTTCAAAACCAATAGCTTCTTACCCTCAAAAGAAAAAATTGCAACCAAATCTGTTATTTCAAAACTTTGGAAAATCATTCTCAAATACATTCCTTAAATATATTAATAGCTAATTGCTCTCCCAAACGCTGATGGTGGTTGTTACCTCATTTTATGGTGAAAGCATGGTTTCTTTTCAATTTGATCAACTAGATTTCAGTCAGTCTCATAGAAATTGGTTGCTGGTCTTGCAGTGAAGCTTGCTGACCTGTTTTGATGAAGAGGATATGGAGATTATTTCTTTTACTGCTGAATTTATTAATCCCACTTTAAAAAGGAACAAACAACCTTACAGCCCTTTTTTTAGTGCACTTAAAAAAGTCTTTGGCTGTCTAAATAAGGGAAATCCTGCCTGAAAAGGA